TTCATCAAGATAAAAAGCTTCTGAGGTACGGGTCTGTGATTCAACAGTCTTACACAATTCACAGCGCTCACCATAGCACATACCCTGTACCCCTGAAACAAATAATACATTATATGTTAAAAAAATAGAAGAAGATAGTAGGAAGGGAAAAATGAAGGGGGAGATGAACCATAAGAGACTATGGACTCTGAGAAAGAAACTGAGGGTTCTAGAGGGGAGGGGGTTTGGGGGATGGGTTAGCCTGGTGATGGGTATTAAAGAGGACACATACTGAATGGAGCACTGGGTGTTATATGCAAACAATGAATCATGGAACACTACATCAAAAACTAATGATGTAATGTATGGTGATTAACATAATAAAAAATAAAAAAATTTAAACAATTTTAAAAATAAAAAACTAATAATGTAATGTATAGTGATTAATGTAACATAACAAAATTTAAAATTTAAAAAATGCAAAAAAAAGATAAAAAGTTTCTGCACAGCAGAGGAAACAGTCAACAAAACAAAGAGGCAACCCACAGAATGGGAGAAGATATTTGCAAATGACACTACAGATAAAGGGCTGGTATCCGAGATCTATAAAGAACTTCTCAAACTTAACCCCCAAAAAACAAATAATCAAGTCAAAAAATGGGCAGAAGACATGAACAGACACTTCTCCAAAGAAGACATACAAATGGCTAACAGACACATGAAAAAATGTTCATCATCATTAGCCATCAGGGAAATTCAAATCAAAACCACATTGAGATACCACCTTACACCAGTTAGAATGGCAAAAGTTGACAAGGCAAGACAACAACATGGCAAAAGTTGACAAGGCAAAACAATAAATGTTGGAGAGGTTGAGGAAAAAGGGGAACCTTCTTATACTGTTGGTGGGAATGCAAGTTGGTACAGCCACTTTGGAAAACAGTGTGGAGGTACCTCAAAAAATTAAAAATAGAGCTACCCTATGACCCAGCAATTGCACTACTGGGTATTCACCCCAAAGACACAGATGTAGTGAAAAAAAAATGCCATATGCACCCCAATGTTCATAGTGGCAATGTCCACAATAGCCAAACTGTGGAAAGAGCCGAGATGCCCTTCAACAGATGAATGGATAAAGAAGATGTGGTCCATATATACAAAGGAATATTACTCAGCCATCAGAAAGGATGAATTCCCAACTTTTACATCCACATGGCTGGGACTGGAGGAGATGATGCTAAGTGAAATAAGTCAAGCAGAGAAAGTTAATTATCATACGGTTTCACTTACTTGTGGAACATAAGGAACAGCATGGAGGACATTAGGAGAAGGAAGGGAAAAATGAAGGGGGGGAATCGGAGGGGGAGACGAACCATGAGAGACGATGGACTCTGAGAAACAAACTGAGGGTTCTAGAGGGGAGGGGGGTGGGGGGATGGGTTAGCCTGGTGATGGGTATTCAAGAGGGCATGTTCTGCGTGGAGCACTGGGTGTTATGCACAAACAATGAATCATGGAACACTACATCAAAAACTAATGATGTATTGAATGGTGACTAACATAACATTAAAAAAAAAAAAAAAGATGGTTCAAGCAGTTTTTCCACCTGGGCCTCCAGTGGAAAATCCACACGGTACAGACTCAACTCTTGGCCCTCTTGCTTGGCTGAACACACATGGGCCCCATGGATATTCCCTGGGACATTGGACAGCCTGCATGTGCAGGCTTCCCCTCCCTACAAGATCCTCTGAGATCTTAACTTCTGTATCCTCCCTCCTCCATTCTCTGCCTCCCTCAGTCTTCAGCAGACCCTTTGTCTACTCTTGGGCTTTACCATTTTCACTGTCTTTGGCAAACTTGGTAAGTCAATGTTAGTATCACCTCTGTGTGTTTCTGTGCAAGGCAGAAGCCTGGCAAAGCAGGTCTTGGGATATGTGCCCCTGAGGCTGCAAGAGGTGCACATATTCAGGTCTGCCTACTAGGGCTCCCTGCGGTGAGGAGGGCAGGAGGGGTGTGTCAGACATTCACTTTGTTGTTCTCACCTCCCCCGCTCAGAGCATCGTCTCCTCAGCCCTCTCTCACAGAAGTCCTTCCACCTCAGGCTTCCCCCTTCTGAGGCTAGGAGTGATTTGTTCTTATTCACACTCCTGCTTGTCAGATTTGCTTCCTGCCAGCCTGGTCTGTTTGTGCACCTAAGAACTCTCCATCAGTTCAGTCCACCTCGGAGAGGGAAAGGTGAGGATGGGCACCTCAGAAGGCTTTGTGGGCCCCCTCCCCCCCAATTTCTTCAGCCTGGGTAGGAGGGATGACACCTACTAGGCTACTGCTTTAGGGACTTTTCCTGGCCTTGCTTCTGAGCACAGCTTCTGCCTGCTCCCGCTCTTCCATCTGGCTGCTGGGACCACCCCATGCTTGAGGGTCAGGGCCCCTTGCCTCTCTACTCTGTCAGGGAGAACATGTTCCTCTACCCCTCTTAGCTCTTTGGCTGGCCTAACAATTAAATTAACACAGATTGACGGGAGAAAAAATATTTAATTAAGTATATACGGGGGCCCCTAAGAATATGAGACTCAAAGAGGACACCAAAGCAGGGGGCTTTTAGACAAAGAGACAATAAATTTATGAAGAACTGAGAGGATGAAGAAACTTAGTTTTTGGTACTAATTAGTGAGAAAGCCAAGCACAGTGTTCGCATAGCCTTCCTGGCCCTGAATTCCCTGACTCTGGTGATAAGAATGTTTTTCTACTTTTTGGTGCCCAGAGAGGGTGCCTTTGACATGGGAAATGTATTTCCTGCCTTTGGGGGGGACAAAGATCGTCCTTCTTGCACCGGTTACTTCTGAAGTAACTTTAATTCAAAACTATCAATACACCAAAGTGGCATATTCTGATGGCCTGCCCCGAACCCCATTGATGAGGAGAACAAAGGTAAGAAAAATGTAGCTTAAATTAGATCTCCTTACAGCCTGTAGCCCACTGATAAATACTTGAGACCTGCAGAGCGTGATATTCCTCAAGGAACTCATGGCAGCCTTCATGTTGATATTTTGCTAGAGATTAAAAGCAACCTTATCTTGACAACAGCCAGACCTGCAAGGTCCTGTAGACCCTGCTTTCAGCGTACAGAAATTCCTCAGAAACTTATGTTATTTTTACCTCCCCTCCCTCCACAAACTTAAAAGTATATAATCAGTCACTCCTCACAATCACAGATGCAGCTCTTTCTGCCCATGGGTCTGTCCCCGTGCTATAATAAAAACACCTTTTTGCACCAAAAATGTCTCAAGAATTCTTTTTTGACCATTTGCTCTCAGACCCAAACTTCAAATCACATCATTTTGGTACCCAACGTGGGGCCTGAGTCTTCTCATCTGGACTCTGAGCCTTGGTGCAAACTTGGTGAGTACTTTCTCTTCTCTTCCTTTACTCTCATTTCAGGGGCTTTTCAGGGAGTACAGTCTTACTGAAAAACTTTCATGTCTATTGCTCAGGGTGCAATGCTCTAGCCCATGGCTACTCTATGGGGAGGAGAAAGCCTGTCTTTTGCCTGGAAGTTAGCACCCTGGCCAGGACGGTAATTAGACCCAGAAACTTGATGCCCTCTCTCTATTCCTATTCTCATACAAAGTTGTCTTTCTTGGGCAGGGGACAACCGCCTAAGTCACTAGGATGGCTGCCAACCTTAAGACTTCCATATGAGGTTTCCTCCTCATTGGTCTAATGTGATCCCCTTCATGTCTCTGGTCTAGCCAATTCGGACCATGAGACCTCTGCACAGAGAGGGCCAAAACCAGTATCCAATTGAATTAAAATCCAACTAGGAACCATTTCCTAGGGAAGTTGGTTATAAGGACTATATGTGTGGAAATGTCAGTTAGATCATGGTGGATTTCTGTCTTTACTATTTTCCATCAATGTCCCCTACTAAATACTTAAATTACAAAATTGGGTAACACTGCCTTGTGAAACTTTTTTAGCATTTTCGTTGGGTTAAAAACAGCCGGTTCTTCATGGCACGGCATCTCAGTCCATTCACCAGCACCCATTTGTAGCCTAGGATGTAATGCAGAAGTGGGGAAATGCCAGCATCCCTCCTATAAGGCAAGGTGGTGTTCACAGAAGCTCCTAAGAGGGACACCGCTGGTCACTTTGGCACCGGGAACCTCTGACCTTTCCTGTGTGGAATGCCACCTGGGAGTCGGGTGCGGGGAGTTTTCTTGGTAATGGACGTTCTATGTTTCTTTTTCACTTCCCAAGGACTTTTAACCCACTGGATATAATTCAGATTGCAAGATTTAAGAAATCTTCTGGTCTTCTGTAACACTGCATGGCCTCAGTACTCCTTAGGAGATGAGGAAAAATGGCCTGTTAATGGGACATTAAGCTTCAATACGATGTATCCATTAGATCTCTTCTGCAGAAAACAGTGCAAATGGATCGAGGTACCCTATGTTCAGAACTTCATGGCCCTAAATCAGGACCTAAGGGCCTTTTGCAGAATGTGTTCGGCCATTAACCAGGCTAGAAAACCCCATCCTAATATATTGGATGATGATTGAACAGGCTTCTTTCAAATAAACCCAGGTTGCTGGAGGAATCCCTGACAAAGGGGACACTGACTCTCTTTCACTGTTCCTCCTAGTAGACCCAGACTACTCTAACTGTACCTGTGGTCTTCTTCCTCATTCATTTCCCAGGTTAATGGCTATGATGACTGGAGCTAACTGTGGTTAGTCTACCTTGGGATGGGGACTTTAAGGAATATTCCCAAGCAGCTGCTGAAACTCCTTTTGTTTCAGGGAAGCTCCCTGTCTTCTCCCGCCCCACATGGACTGCTTATTTCCACTTGTTGGTAGAAAGAAAACCTGTCTTTTCATCTGTCCTAGCTGATGAGCTTTAAGACCAAGGAATCCTTATTCTCTGCCCTCTGGGCTTTTATCCACCTCCGCAGTACCTCGCCTCTCCTGCCTTCCCCTCCCCCGCTTCCTGTTTCTGCACTTCCTTGGGTGCAGCCTGCATAACTGGCTCCTACCATCCTGGGTGCTTCTGGCACCATTGGCCCCTGCTCCTCCTCCCCTCACTGTCAAGGAGCAAAGAGCACCCCTTTGGACTTACACCACCCACTTCAGATTTCCCCACCAGTGCCCCAGGTAAAAATTGACAATGGGGAACAAATTGACATTTAAGTGAACCCAGGTGAAACATATTCGATCTTTAAACTAATTTAAGTTTGTTGGTTTAATTAAGATAGACATGTCTTTAGAGTTGTCAGCATTAAATATAAAACTTTTATTCTACCAAGGTTTGTTGAAGGTCAACTAAGCTCTTGATCTTTATTGCAATTTGTCAACAAAAAGACTTAAAATGGTGGTTCATTTTGTCGGTCTCAAAGTTTTCATGGGTAATTGTTAAGATAGCTTTCGAAGTCTTTGGTAACCTGAAACCTTAAAGTTTTGCTTGGATTATAAATTGGATTGAATTCATTGGACACCTAGGTTTTTTCCAAATGAAACAAAATACTAAAGCTTTGATTACTGAGCATAGGTTTGTGCTTTTGACTTCTTATTGCAGAGAAGCCGAGGATGCTTGGGTCTATTGATAAACATGTTTTGTGTTTTCTTAAAACATTGCACCATGGAGAAACAGGTCTTTAAAATTATGAAATATATTCATAAATTTGCCAACTAAAGAATTCTAGTGTAACAGACAGTTCACAATCGGTTACTACTTAGTTTCCACCGGAGACAGGCTTCTAAGAAATTCTGCTAAATGTAATTAAGACGATGGAAATAAGGGAAACAACTCTGAATAAAAAAGTTTATTTAAATAAAATAAAATAAAATAAAATAAATAAAATAAAAAAGTTTCTAAAAAAATAGAAAGTTTATGAAACGAAATCTTTGGGGAGGAATTTTATATGTGGTCAGGACTGACTAAGATTGAAATGCATGCATTTTAAAAGTACACTGGCATAAGATTGAAATTCTGCTTTTCTCTTAAAAAAAAAAAGAATGTTTTCTTGGATTGTTGGTCTGTTCTTCATTTAAAAAAATGTAAACAAAGGTTTTTTTTCTCTTTTGGCTGCCTGGAAAACCAAAACTTATGTTTTGTCTTTTTCAGGTCTTTGATTACTTAAAGTTAAAACTTCTCAATATTAAAGGAGCTAAGTTTTGCTAACAACTGTATAACCGTACATATTTGCCCTTGGAATCTCTTATTGCCACCTTAGTTAAATAAATAAGTTTTAAGTTGTGTCATGATCTGTAATACTATTTAGGCATGTGCTTTATAACTTTGGAGGCTTTTTAACAAACAGTCCCATGATTTAAATTGTAAATGAAGTCTCTTTGACTACTTAGGCTTGTTTATTTCGTATGTTTGTTCAGGTATAAGGCCATCACTCGATATTCTGATTATTGAAGTGTGTAGGTGTCACAGAAATAACCAGATTTCCTTGTCAGCTATATTATAACAAACTGTCAACAGATCTTTAAACATGTCCATTTTCAAGTCTTTTGTCATTTATAGTTATTGTTCTTATTTTCTTGTGAAACATGTTGCATCTTCAAGGAGGTTCATAAAAAGGGCTTTTGATAAATACAGGTATTTGATATCTTTAATACTGTAAAACTAAAATTGGTAAGAATTTCCAGAACTAACTAAAAGGCTGCATTCAAACTGAACAAGCATTAGTAACATGGGACTAAATGAACTGAGGAAGATGATTGTAGTTTTGTGACTCCTGTTTGAAACATTGCTGATTCTCTAAAATTTGCTCTTCCGTATCAAGGAAACTTTCTCTTAAGATATCCATGACTTGCAGAAATATGATAAATATTTCTTTGTGAACAATTTGAATCATTTAACTTTTCTCTCTACCTGAACCCTCTGAAATTCAGAAACTCTCAGTGAATATTCTTTCTTCCATGGCAATTACAACCATATGCATAAGTTCAGTAAGAATCTGTTCTTGTAACAGGACGCCATCGGAAACATCGGTTATTTTACCAAAGCTTTTTACTAGAATGCCATATTTGAGAGACATGCATGGACTTAGATATGACTATAGATCTTTAAGGAACTAAGATTGACTTCATGAAGCATGAAGCCAATAGAGCCCCTTAGGAATGTTGGCCTGATACCTTGCTTACAGAATTCCCGGCAGCCTTACCTGGTAGGCAAAGAATGTCACTTCCTGGCAGTTGCAGGAAACTCAGGATATTTTTGAGACCTCGAGCAGAGGAATTCACCCAAATCTACAGATATTGCAGGCATGTCTGATGGCAAGCATTTGGCTTGGCTTCTGGCCTAGAGAGGCTACTAAAAGTTCAATCGAGATTCCCCATAGAAGTTCCCACAAAGCAGATTCTAAAAGATTTATATGATCAATCACTAATCTTGGTGAGCTTATGTAAATCCTTAGGCCAAGTTTTGCTTTTTTTTTTTTTTTTAAGATTTTATTTATTGGACAGAGAGAGACACAGCGAGAGAGGGAACACAAGCAGGGGGAGTGGGAGAGGGAGAAGCAGGCTTCCCGCGGAGCAGGGAGCCCGATGCGGGGCTCGATCCCAGGACCCTGGGATCATGACCTGAGCCGAAGGCAGACGCTTAACCACTGAGCCACCCAGGCACCTGCAAATGAGTCTTGATTTGGCTACCTATCTTTGATAAAAATGAGGGTGATTATAGTAAGTATCTCAATAACATATCTTTATAGATAGTATATTTTCATACTATTTATCATAAACTAGACTAGATTCTGAATTCTTCTGGTTTCCTCAAATATCTAACTAATGGATACTCAGACTGATGAAGGATAGTTGGAAGACAGGCAGGCAAGAACAAGCCACCCCCACCCCACCCGCCCTAAGAGGAAACCACCCTTAAAAGGATTTTACACTGCCCCGGAAGGAGCCCTCCACCCTTTCCCATATGATAGATAGGTGACAAAAACCTGATTGGATGACAGGTACAGGGAGGGTTAATCATATTAAAACAGCCCACACCAGAGAACCCATAAAACTCCTAGACTTAGAAACTCTGGTGGCAACGCACTCGGGTCCCCTCCCTCCTCTGGAGCTTTCTACTATCACTTTGCTATCCCTCAATGAACCTTGCTTTGCTGCCCACCACTCCGTCGGGTCTACCTCTTCATTCCTCGAAGCACTGTGACCAAGAACCACGGGCACCAAAAGAGAAAAATTCTGTAACAAGACCACATGCTCCCTAAACCTGATCTGACAGTTACTAGCAACCTACCCCATATAAACCCAGGAGACATGGTTTATTTAAAGGATTAGAAGTCTAATACAACAGGGGATTTTAACTCCAAAATGGAAGGGCCCCTACTGGGTCATATTATGTACTCCCACGGTCACAAAATTAGAAGGACATTCCTCACGGGCTCATATATCAAGAATTAAACCTGTACATTCCTCACAGAAATCCTGTGTACCAGCTAACGCACCTTCTTTTTCCTGTGAACCTGTGGAAGACCTCAAACTTCTCTTCAAATGACAACGAAGGACTGGAGGAGAATTTTGGCCAACTATCAAAAGTCTTTTTTATTAGGCTTCTTTTTCTCATAATACTATTAACCTTCTTTTCTTTTCTTTTCTGGTGTCTCCCTACCTGGTGCCAAGACTCCTTCAATGCCATAACTTCAAGCCAACAGATGGTCCCTTCTACTCAAGGAGGTTCAAAGATGTTGTCTACATTGGATTCAGCTGCCTGGCTTTGGTAACTCCTATATGTAAGTTCCCCAGCTGACCAATGTTGACCCATAAGTAGGGACATCTCTACACCCCTATTTAGCAGGAAGAAGTTACAGAAGATAAGACCTTCCACACTCAGCAACCGTAAAGATTTAAAGGTCAAAATTGCTCAGGGGGAAAAATGATGAGAACAAAGTCAAGAAAACTGTAGCTTAAATTAAATCTCCTTACAACCTGTAGCCCACTGATAAATACTTGAGACATGCAGAGTGTGACGTTCCTCAAGGAACTCATGGCTGCCTTCATGTTGATGTTTTGCTAGAGATTAAAAGCAACCTTATCTTGACAACAGCCAGACCTCCAAGGTCCTGTAGACCCTGCTTTCAGTGTACAGAAATTCCTTAGAAACTTACGTTATCTCTACCTCCACCCCTCCACAAACTTAAATGTATATAATCAGTCACTCCTCACAATCACAGATGCAGCTCTTTCTGCCCATGGGTCCTGTCCCTGCGCAATAACAAAAACACCTTTTTGTACCAAAAACGCCTTGAGAATTCTTTCTTGACTGTTTGCTCTCAGACCCAAATTTCAAATCACATTACCATCAACTTGTTGCCTGTGTAGGGGAGAAAATTTAATCCTCCTTCCATTCTAGGTTCTTTGAGCTGATCTAAAATTAAAATGATATGAGACAGATTAACAGGAGAGAAACAAAAGTGTAATAACATGTATACTTCCTGTATACACGGAAGAGACCCAGGAACACTAAGTAACTCTCTGAAATGGCAGAAACCATCACCTTAAACACCATCTTCAGCTAAGGACAAAAGAAGATGTTGAGGGTGGGGGTTCAGTTTGGGGAACTTACCAGGAAAAGCACAGTGAACATGGGTAAGGTCGTTATGTAGATTTAAGTCCTTGCTTCGCCACTGAGAAGAGTTCTAGAGATTTAGAGTCATCCCCCTCTTCATGGTACAGTGAGGGACATGCACTTACAAGTTGAGATTTCCCTTATAAATGTCAATGTCTCTCACAAAAGAGTAACTTCTATCTGGTTTTTAGAGGTTCTCCAGTGTTTGCAGTTTCTTAAAAATAATCAGCCTAAAGTAATCCTCATGCCAAAGAGACAGATTTTTGGGTTGGTAAATTCTGCTCCCTTTTGCCTCATCCACCAGCCATCAGGACCCTATGGTCTTCTCCCCTTGGTTCTGCTGTGGGGTCACCAAGACAAGCACAAACCCTCTGAGATTTCAGGGCTTGGATGCTGCCCACCCTGGGAAGCATGTTATCTCCCAAAGAACAGAGCTTGAAGTTTGAAGGGATGAGCAGGTTCCTCTGAGATGGAAACTGAAAGCAGGGGCCACCCCCTGGTGAGGTGGAAAGCACCAGTGTGGGAACCTGCCAGGCCTGGCTTCTAGTCCTGCTCCTGCTCTCACCCCACAGTGACCTTGGGTAGGTGGCTTTCCCTCTCAAGCTGGTGTTCCACCCTATAACTTAATTGTGACAGTGTCGGGGGCTGCCATGGGAAGTGATGACAAGGTGACACAGTGCCTACCGCAGAGGGGGTCCCTGGCAAAGAATCACTTCTCCCCTAATTGTGCCAAGAGTCAATGACAAATCCTTGCTGAGAGTTGACCATGTTGGTACTGCTTACAGCAGTGGACAGAGTCCCTGCCCCCATGATGCTCCCGTTGAGTGAGCAGACAGACGTTAAACACATTCCATACACAAGAGGGTAGTGATGAAGTGTGCTCAGCTCTGTGAAGAGGAAATGATGGACTGAGACAATCAACAGTGTGGGAAACCTAATACAGCTTAGAGGGACAGGGAGTTCCCTGTACAGAACCAACTTGCCATCTAGAGAGACAGCCAAGTAGAACATCCTGTTCTCTGCTCCCCTGTCTCCTGGCTAGAGGAACACTTCGGTCTGCCCATCTGGCAGAGAGACAAGACTTTAAGGTCACCTCTCCCCCAACCCCACCAGCCACCCCTAAATACTTCAGCAGAGAGTGGGACAAGCAGGCCTGCATTGTGGGACATCTCTGGGGCTTCCAATATGTCATGAGTGTGTTAAAAAGAAAACCACAGGCCCAGGGCACCCGGGTGGCTCAGTCGGTTGAGTGTCCGATTATTGATTTCAGCTTAGGTCATGATCTCAGGGTCCTGGGATGGAGCCCTGCGTCAGGCTCCGTGCTCAGCAGGGAGCCTGCTTGAGATTCTCTCTCCCTTGTCCTCTGCCCCTCCCCCCCCAAGCACGTGTGTGCATGCTCTCTCTCTCAAATAAATAAATCTTAAAAAAAATCATTAAAAAAAAAAGAAGGAAAGAAAAGAAAACCGTAAGCCCCAAGGCTAGGCAAATCACCAAACTAGAGATTAATACCTAACTTAATTGCAGTTTCAAGCTCCCTGAGAAATAAAGTCTAAACCAGTCAGTTAGGAATTTTGTGGTCAGCATGAGTGAGGTAATCTGTCACCTGGGCTCCCCATTCCCCAAAGGAAGATGACATAATCGGCATGGTAAGACCCTGTGCCCTTGGGCGCCTGGGTGGCTCAGTCGTTAGGCGTCTGCCTTCGGCTAAGGTCATGATCCCAGGGTCCGGGGATCAAGCCCCACATCAGGCTCCCTGCTCTGCGGGAAGCCTGCTTCTCCCTCTCCCACTCCCCCTGCTTGTGTTCCTGCTCTCGCTATGTCTCTCTCTGTCAAATAAATAAATAAAAATCTTTAAAAAAAAAAAAAAAAAAGACCCTCTGCCCTTATCGCTAAACGAAGGTTACTTTGCCTGGAACAATCTTTCTTTTCTTTTCCTAATAACTTCTTGCCCCACCCTCCTTCCTATAAAAACCTTTCACTTTGTACAACTCCTCAGAGCATCTCTCAGTTTGCTGGACAGCCTGCTGCCCCATTCAAGAATCACTTCAGAAAGCCAATCAGATCTTCAAACCTACTTGGTTGAATTTTGCTTTTACTAAGGGTCAACCTAAATCTGTCAGGAGGCAATAATTAAGCAAAAGCATTAATTTGGGATCAAAGAATTGCAGTTCAGGATACAGAGGTACAGGCAGCAACCAAATCGTGTCCCAGTAGGGAGCAAATGTCCCAGGTTTGCAGAACAAAAGGGAATGCTTATATATGTTGTTTACAAAAATTGTGACTGGTGCTGGTGGCAGAAAGCTGATCTTCACTAGACATAATTCGTTGCTAAGGTTATCACTAAGAAAAGTCCATTGTGGTAACAAGCTTCAGGTGCTCATGCAGAGTCCTTGGAGTATTTGTGCTTTGGCTTAATTCAAAAGTTCAGGGTTCCACATGATGAGGACGTGAACAGAAGACGCACGTATGGCTCATCTCTTCAATGGCCTCCTGGCTCCATTTTAAAACCCCTGGCCTCATTTGACTTCACCTTTCACATAAGCAAATTCACCAAGACCAAAACTCTAGATCAGTGATATCCAGTAGTAACATAATGCAAGCCACATTGGTAATTTAAAATTTTCTGGTAGTGACTTTTAAAAGTAAAGAGAAAAAGTTAAAATTAATTTTAATAAATATATATTTTTTAAAGATTTTATCTATTTATTTATTTGAGAGAGAGAGAGCGCATGAGAGGGGGGAGGGTCAGAGGGAGCAGCAGACTTCCCGCTGGGCAGGGAGCCCGATGTGGGACTCGATCCCAGGACTCCAGGATCATGACCTGAGCCGAAGGCAGTCGCTTAACCAACTGAGCCACCCAGGCGCCCTTTAATAATTATTTTTTAAACCAAATACCTCCAAAATAGTATTTCAACAGGTAACTAACACAAAATTATTGCATATATATCATATATAATATATTCTACATATTATTATGTATTATTATATATATAATATATATAATATAATATATTGTATATATTATTATACAAATATAATACTACATTATATTATATATAATGTAATACATATTATACATATATATTATACATTATATTACATTATATATATTATATATTACATATATTATATTCTTTTTCATACTAAGTCTTCAAAAAATCTGGTAAATATTTTACATTTATATCACATTGCAATTGAGACTAGCCAAATTTCAAGTACTTGATCACTAACACGTGGCCAGTGCTAGACCTTGTAATATTGAAACCACGGCTCCCAGGAGACATGGGCCCATCAGCACAGGCTTTGGTCACCTGCCAGAGCTGCTCTAGAACCATGCTCGGGGGGCGGGGGGGGCCAGGGGCAGCCAGCACTTACAGCGACTTGTGTGGAATGACAAGGCATTCCCTCGTCCAGGGACATACAGCCAGGCCCGGAGAGGAGCCTCGACCTCCGTCCGCTCTTGCAGTGCCCCCCTCCCCAGGAGTCTGCTCTTGTTCATCTTTCCAACTTGTTCTTTCTCCCCGAAGAATTGACTGTAACTGATGTTTTTTTTTCTCTCTCTCTCTAAGCTTTCACCTGTATTGTTACCTGCAGATACTGCAACCACATGTCAGAGCCAGTGTGAGGTGATAGAAAGAACATGATCCAGTGTGTCAGAGAAGACAGGTCCCAGTTCCTGCCCATCTTTTACCAGACATCGATAAATGGTGATGAGTACACCCGGCTTTATAGGGTTCTGTGAGGACCACGAGAAATGACAAATGTGGAAATGTCTTGTGAAACCGGGAAGCCCTTTGTAAAGCCAGAAACAACTCCTGGGTTCCACAGCCTCGCCCAGGATCTGCCTCTAAAAAGCTATTACAAACTCACAGTTGGGAAGGGGAGTCTGTGTTAGACCAGGAGCTCCGTCCCCGGACGAGGTCTAAAGCCCAAGCTTCAGCACCCTTTTCCTGAATAAACTCTGGCTTCAGTTCCGTCTTCTCATTTTTGTAACGTGCTAAGAACACCCAGCTCACAGGTCAACAGGCTGAGGATCAAATGAGCCCCTGGCCATGGCGCGCCTGGCACACGACCATGGAGGGGACCTTGCTGCCTTTCAACCTTCTCAGCCCTGGCCTTGGCCCGCAGTTCATGTTATAACCACTAGAGGGAGCGCCAAGACTTCCATTTTGAACACGCTTCCACCCACCAGCGACCCCAGCTGCTCTCCCAGAGCCAGGAGGAAAGCCCTTTAGGAAGGAGCTGTGGTTGCCCACCTTGAGCGTGCCTGGAAGGCATCTGTTCTGTGTTCTGTAAGCTCAAGAGAAACAGCCAGACACTGCATGTAGGGAAATTCCTGACCTCGGGGGACTCCCTGCCCACCCACCAACCTACATGCCAAGTTGCCCCAGGTAGGTTACTCCTCTAGCCTCCTCACTTGAGAGGGGGCCGGCGCCTGTGGACATGCTTCGTAAACCGTGTCTGAGCTGCCCATGCACGTTGTGGCTGGTCTGTGCATCGTTCCCATTCTATGGGCTGTACCGTGTGGGAATCCCTCATAGAAGAAAAGAGAAGGAAAACTCGCCTGTCAGTGGCCTGACCAAGAAGTTCCCCCCGAACATCACAGATGCTCAGACAAGACCACCCCACAACTGCAAAATTACCAAAACACCCGTCATCCCTGACCAGCATCCCTGCTTCTTTACCAGTGAAGTCTCTCGGCCAACTCCAATCCCGCCCCCCTCGCCACCTCCCAGGCAGAATTTCTTAAGATACCCGTCACTGAATGCCTCTGTGTCCTCATAGCCTCTGACCCAGAACTGACCCTGTCTCCTGCATCCCTCCTGAGCCTCATCCATCAGGAGCCCAGATCCTCTATGTCCTTCCCAACTGCCCCTTACGGAGATGCTCCCTCATTCCTCTGGCTCCTCACTGTTGCTCACAGTCTTCAGTCTGCAAGCACTGAGAAAGAATTCCATTCGGACTGACATCAAACTGGGGATATTTGTTTGCTACGGCTGCGAGAACAAAATACCATAGACTGGGGTGGCTTAATCAACGGAATTTATTTCTTACATTTCTGGAGGCTGGAAATCCCAGATCAAGGTGTTGACAGGGTTGGTTTCTCTGGTGTCGATGGTCACCTTCGTGCTGTGCCCTTGCATGGCCTGTCTTCGACATGCAGATCCCTGGTGTCTCTTCCCCTTCTTGTATGGACACTGGTCCTGTTGGATCCGGGCCCCACTCTTATGAACTCACTGAACCTTAATTACCTCCTTAAAGATCATATCTCCAAATACAGTCACATTAGAGGTTAGGGCTTTAACATGAATTATGGGGGACGCAAACATTCAGTCCATAACACTTGGATTTTAATTTTTCTCTAAGCACAGTACAAAGGTCATTTGGGAGAGGACCTGGAGAAGACTGTCTGAGAGTTCGAAGTAGAACAGTCCCTGTCACTCAGAAATCCTAAGCCCTGGAGACCCAGGAGAAGGGGCACATTGAACGGCTTCCCCTGGGTGAGGCCTTTAACCCTCTTGACCCTCTGTACAGCTTGGTCCGTCTGCTGGCATGTCCTCACGAGGGGCACGCCTCCACCAAGCCCTCTTAGGAAGAGATTATTCCTTCCTCCGTGTGTCCCCAGCATTCAGATTTCTAGTACTCATGACCCCATTTGGGACCTTCTTGCTTTGAATAATCCTTGATTTGCTGAAGGCCCACCATGTTCCAGGCACCGTGTGAGGTACTTGACCTATGTTGTTGCTAATCCTCATGCCACCCTGCCACGTGGGTTTTATTATCTTGACTTTCACAGGAAGGCAAGTCGGCTCAGAGAAATAACTTGTTCGAGGCCACACAGCTTGAAAGTGGCAGGGTCCGCCTTTTAACCAGCACAACATGACTCCAATTAATTGTAGGTCTGCGGGTTCTATATAAAATCGTCATCCAAAGGCTTGTCACCCACACATGCCACTCCTTCCTGGGAAATGCAGCTGCGGCAGATGTTTTGGGACACAAAGCCATGAGCTTTGAATGAAACCAGTGAACTGGGAAGAGTCCTGCAGACAAAATTGTCCCTGAGCCTCGCCGTGTCTGCTGATGGGCAGCCCAGCCCGATGCTCCTGACCCTGGGGAGTGCTATGGAGAGGTGGAGCCATGGGGAGGGAAGCAAAAGAGCTGGTTGGGCAGAGGCGAGACAGAGCCTTCCTGCATCCTGATCCTTACCTGTTGTGTAACATTCCCTGAGCTGTCTCTTTTTGCAGGCTCAGACAGTGGAAGGCTGCCCCCGTTCATCTTTGTGTTGCACACAACCAGCCCTGAGAATGAGCTATGGCATCAATAAATACCTGACAAGTGAATGAGTGAGCAGAGTCAGGCAGATGATGCATGGCCTGTGAACAAAAGTGTAATGCAGACAACAGGGCTTACTAATGACTGCTGAACAGTTAACGTGCAAATGATTACTTGTTTGGGAATAAAGGGGCATTTTTGCTTTAGTTTACAATGAGCCTTTAGGACTTCTGCCTCCACCTACTGAGACTGAGAAATAATTCAATGCAAAGGAGACTCCTGGAGAAGAATGACACACATTTTCTTTTCTTTTTAAAAAAAAGATTTTATTTATTCATTTGAGAGAGTGAGCGCGAGTGGGGTGCGGGGCAGAGGGAGAAGCAGAGTCCCCACTGAGCAGAGAGCCCGAACGCTGGCCTAGATCCCGGGACTCCAGAATCATGACCCAAGCTGAAGGCAGACGACCAACCAACTGAGCCACCCAGGTGCCCCCACATTTTCTTTTTTAAAAAAATTTCCAGGGGCGCCTGGGTGGCTCAGCCTGTTAAGCGTCTGCCTTTGGCTCAGGTCATGATCCCAGGGTCCTGGGGTGGAGCCTGCTTCTCCCTCTCCCTCTGCTGCTCCCCCTGCTTGTGCTCTCTCCCGTGTGCTGTCTCTCACTCTCTCAAATAAATAAATAAATTCTTTAAAAAATAAAATAATAAAAATTTAAAAATTGCCAGTATTTTTTCTGGCTTTACAGTGTTATTGACATTCAACATAGTATAAATCTAAGGCGTACAATGTGATGATTTGATACACATATATTGCAAAATGTTCACCACAGTAAGGTTAGGTGATACATCCTTTGCCTCACATAGTTACCATTTTGTTGTTGTTGTTATGATGGAACATTAAGAAGCAACTTTCAAGTATATGACACAGTATTGTTAGCTACAATCACCATGCTGCGGATGAACTTATTCATCTTATAACTGAAAGTTTGTACCCTCTGGCCCACATCGCCCCATTTCCCTCACCCCTCAACCCCTGGTAAACACCATTCTACTCTCTGTTTCTCTGAGTTTGATATTTTTAGATTCCACACATAAATGAGATCATACAAGTATTTATCTTTCTTGGACAGACACATTTTCACATATGAATCACAGATGGATTTCATTTACTTTAAAAAAAGCATACTAGGGACACCTGGGTGGCTCAGTCGGTTAAGTGACTGCCTTCAGCTCAGGTCATGATCTCAGTGTCCTGGGATCGAGTCCTGCCTCAGACTCCTTGCTCAGCGGGGAGCCTGCTTCTTCCTCTGCCTTCTGATCCCCCTGCTTGTGCTCTCTCTGACAAATAAATAAAATCTTTAAAAATAAATAAATAAATACAAAAGCTCACTAATCATCACACACACACACACACACACACACACACACGTGAGCTTCGGAATATAACAAAATGTTGCCTAATCCGCGTCTTAAATGCTCCATATGGAGAAATGTCATAATCCAGGAATTATAGTTATGTTGCTGGATATGCGATTTCACCCAATGTTGGCTTCTTTACAAGAACCCGGACATACACTTAAGCTACAGGACATGTACTAGCTTTGAGGAAATATACCTCTTTGACGTCTTTTGCACGCAAGTTAAATTGACTTGACATCGGAGGTTTACAAAATCTTGGTCATGGATCGAAAAACACTTTTGAAAAGGGGATTTTTAAGTGATTTTTCCATTTAATTCACTCAAAGTGTTGAAAGATATGCCTCCTTGTGGCCAATTCAGATTTGTGGATATTCCAAATTTGTCAGAAGTTAAAGTGCTCACAGTACTGAAACAGCCTGAGGTCTAGTCACCAAGTAGAATGTTGAAGCCTTTGAAGGAAGCCTGGTGTCAGCATGTGGCTCTTTTTAAGCTGAAGTGTTACTGCAGATTCCATCACCAAGAAGGGTACCAACTGAGTAAAATGACTCAGCATCGCTCCCTGGCCACCAAGCGCGCCCTGCTTGCAGCTGTCCCCTGAGAACCCATCAGCATGTCTACAGGATAGCAAACAGTCAGATAAATGTCCTTAGCAGCTGCATGCAAGCCCAAGCCTTTGTTACCTACAAACGTGGATCGAAATGTAACTGGGATTTACACAGAACTGATTCTTTGGGCAGCTGGTTCAAACAGAAATAAATATTGATATTCTGTTTTAGAATTGAGATTTGAAGCTGGCTCTGAATAAAATACAGATCGATCTATTATAACAAGATTTTTTTTTTTTGCTATAAGAGTAAAAGCCTATAAAAGCACCTAAGAAGAAAGCATTTCACTATAACAACAAGATGATTGTTGTGCAGAAACTCTGCAATCTGGTTTGCCTGTATTCACCTGTGGCCACAACCGTAACTTCACAGTGTCCAAGTTTGCAACGACAAGTGCTGCCGTTTCAGATGCTCCGCATGCTAAGAAATTAGATGGCCAAATGTTTCTTTTACAGCCTTTTCTATCTTTGTACCTCATAACGTACCTTTGAAACAAATGTCAGTCACTTCAGGTGACATTATTGGTCCTGAAGGATTACAGAATGTACCTGAGGTGCCTAAAATCTTGGTTCAAGTCCATCCGACCGAGGAAGTTCATCAGGAGCTAATCTGGAAGCACCGGACGCCAAATCCCACCTTCTGTTTTGTGGTCCCATTACAGTCTTACATTAAACAGTATCCACTCCAGCCCCCAAAGCACAATAGGACCCCATAACACCCTGGCGTCCGTTTCTTAGGGTCAAGGGGACCTGACACAGTCGTCCAGACTAGTGCAAGCCTACCACTGGATTTGCCCCTCTACATTTGTACTTCACTATGAAGTTTTTGTTATGTTTTGAACGACTGTATTCGAAATAAAGAAGATTCTCCTGGACGTGTGAGTTTGTCTGTCACTGCTATAGTCACTGATGCCACATACAAGGTTACGTTGTAGATGAGCATATACACGGGCAACTGGCGGACCTGAGAGCTTTTTTTTTTTTAAAGATTTTATTTATTTATCTGACAGAGAGAGAGCAGGGGGAGAAACAGAGGGAGAAGGAGAAGCAGACTCCCCGCTGAGCAAGGAGCCTGACTCGGGGCTCAATCCCAGGACCCTGGGATCATGACCTGAGCCAAAGGCAGACGCTTAACCAGCTGAGCCACCCAGGCGCCCCAACAGCTTATTTTCAAAGGCTGGTCAATGATGGGGACCCAGGAGCTCTACTTTATTGCCCCTGGGTATTGAGCTCTAGATCATCTCTAAATCTCTAAGGCAGCAAAAGAAATAACTGCTTTGGGTGCCTGGGTGGCTCAGTTGGTGAAGCAACTGCCTTCGGCTCAAGTCATGATCCTGGAGTCCCGGGATCGAGTCCCGCATCGGGCTCCCTGCTCAGCGAGGAGCCTGCTTCTCCCTCTGACCCTCCCCGCTCTCATGTGCTCTCTCTCTCCCTCTCATTCCCACTCTCTCAAAATAAATAAATAAATCTTAAAAAAAAAAAAAG